GCCATGATGTCAGCACAACTTCTTGAAACCTGCTGACTTTCCTGACATGTGCAAGAACAAAATCTTTTTCCAGGAAAGCTCCACATTTTATCATTAAAAGTCATCCTTGGTCTCCAGTGCAGTGACTTTGCTTAGGCTGAGATGAGGTCATCAGTCTGCTGCAGGCAGGAGGAAGCATTTCCTCAGTCTCCCCTCCCCCCAGTGATCAGTCTGCTGCAGGCAGGAGGAAGCATTTCCTCAGTCTTCCCTCCCCCCAGTGATCCGTCTGCAACATTGTAACTTGCACCCGGATTTACATGATTTGTGTCATCTGAGTTTTCATCTCAGTCCAGGAAGTAGATGGTGATACCTGAATAAAGATGGTGCCGTCCTTCTGGTGAGAAAAGCAGATGGCGGCATTGTCAGAGGGAATCATGTGATCTTTGTGAGAGGTAATAAATACCTGGAAGTGTTACACTGACACATTACTGGGTATGCATGGCAGGTTCCCTTTAACTGCCTCTGTGTAACATTATATTATAATAAATAAGAAAGTGAAAGTCTTGAAAAATTACTTTTCATGACTGATTTTCCATGTCAATACATGCCGGGCAAGGAGACACCTGTGTACACAGCACGGCTCTGACTCCTCAATAAGGAATGGTCCCGACCGTGGGGGAAAGAGTCTCCTCGGTCGGGACCATTCCTCCGGTCCTTGCAGTTCACGAAGGTTGACATACATATAGGAATTGATGGAGAAGGGACCGAAGTAATAGCTGCATCGGTCACTTCCCCCCACGGTGGGGACCCAAGTGCAATAGTGAATAGGGTTGATCCACATTTAATTTGCGACTGCATGTTATCCATGATTTTAATGGTATTTAATGAGTTAAATGTATAAACGTATATGTGTTTTCAATAAAATTATTCCCTTTTTTCTATTCATCGACTTGTCCGGATCCTTAATTTGACCGCTACTTAACCCGTTATCTTCTATCGGGTTAAATCTTCTGTTTTTTTGATCCTGTAAAGAAGTTGGGAAATCATCTGGCAGCATCTCAGATCACTCACATATTTTCTAGAGGAGACTCTTCAATCTCTTTGACAGAAATGTTTCTCTGCTCCATAATCTGCATCACCTCACCTGGAAGACAAAGCAAAGGGCACATGAGGTGCAGGTCAGGACAGACATGGCACAGCAACATTCAGCTAACATGAGGGTGGAGGACCCAACTGCCACAGCTTGAGAGAGGGGCCCAACTGCCATTGCAGTACCTTGAGGGGAGCCCCTATTAACACTGCAGTTCCTTAAAGGAGGACCCAAACCAGCACTGCAGAACCTTGATGGTGGCCCCAACCTGCACTAAGGCACCTTGATGGGGGGCCCCAACTCGCACTGTGGCACCTTGAGGGGGGGGGGGGGGGGACACCCGCAC